ATTTAAGTTATTTTTCCAATTTAATATAATAGCAATCTATTAATTCAAATTAAATGTCATAATCACCGTTTAATTTAATTACACCCTGTACAAAATTGTGCTATTTCGCCTCTCTTTGGTGAATTTTGCTCGCCACTCTACGAGATCTCGTCAATCTCTCCCTCGCCTCTTTCGCTTATACAAACAGAAATATATAAATTGTGTTTCCGTTGTATAAAGTCGAGAATTATACAATACAAATATTGTCCTGCCTATATCTCTTTTGATTTCTCTCTTATAACTAGAGTCGTTAACATAGGTTAGGTTCGCTGGTCTAGCTTAGTCCGTGATTTAACAGGGGTAGGCTATATTTTTGGAGCTTATTTAAGAAATGACATATTACCTATATACACACTTTTTCCCTCATAATTTTCATTATTTCCCACCCGTTCTTAAATTTTTCAAAATCTGTTTTTTTTACCGCAACACAAAATTGCAGGGTACATAATTCATACGATTTTTTCTCCCTTTTTCACGCCACAAATCTCTCCATAGTTACCCCGTTTATTCATTTTTTAATTTCAAATCATTTTTCTTTCTAATTAATGATTTCAAGTTAATCAAGAGGTAGATCTCTTTCCATAATTTCAGTTTTCAATTTTTTTTAGTTTCTCATCTTCAAAATTCATTGATACATATGGATGAAGGTCCATATTTTAATATTGGGCTTACCGAATTAGTCGAAAAAGAAAGCATCTTCAAATTTTAAATCGACTGTAAAAAGCGCTCACAAAGGGAAAGAAAACCGATTTACTAGTGGCTCTAGTAAGGACTTTGGATCAAGTTCCATGAATGACACCATTGTTAATAGTGAAAAAAGATACAATAGAAAATATTGAGAAGTACAAAGAGAAGAAGGATAAACAATCGTCTTTTAAAGTTCAAAAGTGAATGTTGAGAAGGAGAAAGTCGAAACAAATCAAATTGTTGTTGTTTTATTTTTATTCTTTCTTACTTCATCTTTTTCTGATATATTACATGGGATCAAATTTTTAGTGTTTCTTAAGAAAAAAGGGGTTTTGTGGCTAGATAATGGGGCTTGAGCAATATGAATTGAGATGATTCGTGGCTAGATAAAAAATAATAATAATAAAAATAAAATTATATATATATATATATATATATATATATATATATATATATATATATATATATATATATATATGGGCTTGAACAATATGAATTGAGTTGGTTCATGGCTAGATAAAAGATAATAATAATAAAAATAAATTTATATATATATATATATATAGTATTAAAAACAAACAACAAAAGTCCAAACTCAAAATCTATTAAAAATTTAAAATATTAAAATTTAGAATCATTAATTTTATGGATTTTGCTAAACAATATATTTTATTTATAGGAGTAAATTGGTGTAAAGTTGAAGAAGTTTGGAGCTAAAATAAATTAAAGATGAAATGCTGAAGAAGGAAATCAAGCAGATAACTTAATGAAATAAATTTAATATAATAATGCATAACGAAAAGATTGAGAGAATTCAAATTGAATTGCAATTAGTTGTTGCACGTGTCATTCACATCACATGCCTTCAAAATATTGAGGTTGTTCGCGCACGAAAGTCGGATTTAGTTTGATTTTGATTTCCCAATTGATTTTGGATTTAGTTATTATATTTAAAGTTTCTACATCTATAAATAATCTGTACAAATAATTATTGGAGGTATTCAATTAGATGAGGACTTTGGAAGAGAAAGTCATCATTACTTTTTAGGGTTCTTTTCATCTTCTTGTTTTTTTAGAGATTAGTAGCTAAAGTCTTTATGAGGCTGTAGCTACGGATCAAATATTGATTATTAATGGCGTTTTGAATTAATTTTTTATTGTCATTATAAGTTACTTCTATATTCTTGTTTAGTATTTCTTGACTGTCTATCGAGAGATAAATATATTGTCTAATCTTAAAATAGAGAGAAGAGAGGTTAGATAGACCAGATGATATAGAGAGCTTGATCGACCCATTAAATTGAGGTGATTTGTGTTCAGGGGTGACGTCCGGACGAACAACGAGAGGTATGTAGCCAGACTTAATTAACCCTATAAACCAATAACTTGACAACTAAGCAAAAAATATGATACATAAAATCCAATATATGTTGCAGCACTGGAATTTTCCAACTATTGTAAGTAATTTATTATTTTTGTTCTTGCATTCTTCTTTTTTTGTCTCTCTAAAGTAAATAATTAGACCAGTATACATATGCAAATACATATATCTTCGTCCTATACACTAATAACTATACAATACAAATATTCTCCTATCCATATCTCTTTTGCCTTTCACTCTTATAACTAGAGCAACTAATATGGGCAAGGTCCGCTGGACTAGCTTAATCCGTAATTTAACAAGGCTAGACTGTAATTTTTGGATCTTATTTAAGTAATTTTCATTATTTTCCACTTGGTCTTAAAATTTTCAAAATCTCTTAGTTTCTTAGTGCACCACAAAATTGTCGGATACTCAAAACAGCCTCATTAGCCAATACAAGTTAATTATAACTCATTAATATTTATTTTATGCAAGAATTGAAGCATCCCAAAAAGTGAAAATTGCATCAATCTTACTTCAGATCACTCAATATCACAATTTTGGGTAAGAAAAAATTAAAAAAAAATGATTAGGAGGAAAGGTTGAAATGTGAACGGGTCAACT